CTCATTCCCATATACTGACATGACCAAACTGTTCAAAAACAAGAAATTCCCCTGGTGATCCTGTCTCTGGCCTGCAGTCTGGTAGGCATTCTTGGTACATGGCTACTACGACTAGAATGGACCTTGTACTACAAAAGGAGAGAACTGGTGGGAATGCCCATAGCCCCTTTAATAACCCTTTAGTGCTTACTGTAATATCAGAGACCCACATTCAAACCCCTCTCATGTCATATCTGAAGCAAGGACTGGAATCCATCTGCCAAGAGTGAGCAACTGGATAGTCTGGGATGGCTCTTAACTGGCTCTTGCTGAAACTCTTCCACTTTGTATGATATAACTAAATTGAGCCAGAAAAAGAATGATAGCTTGGTTGTTAGGACACTTACCTGTGAGTACTGGAACCCAGGCTGCTGCTCCACTGCAATTTAATTTAGAAACTTCATCTTTTTATATGACTAATTATATTAGGCAGACACAACCTGGCACCTTTATATTAAAAATCAGACTATACGTATTGCAAAACTCTACAGTGCAGTACTTTTATATAAATGCAAAAAAAAACATGTTGCTAGTATAGCTGTTCCTATGCTGTCAGCATTTTTCTAGAGCAGATTAGGGCCTTTCTTCTCCAGTTGTTTACAGCAGTGGTTCTTAGCCTTTTCCCAAGCTTCTTTTTCCATTCAAGCCTGTCCCCCTTTTCCCCATCTATCCACGAAGGGAACGTCAATGTAACCCAGCCTGTTCATCCGTGCCATGCAGGTTGAGAACGCATGGTTACCAGCATTTGTTTCTACCCATGGCAGGTAATGATACCAAAATCTTGCAACTCAGGTGTTCTAGCAAGGCTTTTTTTGGGCACTCATCCAAGAATTACAGCACCTCTGGGGCTTCTGACGCATTAAATTTTGCTATCCCTGCCACAAACTCAAGATGCCTCCAGGGCTCCCCCCTGTGCAGCTACACAAGATAAAATACAGGAGACAAACCAGAGTGCAGGAAAACCAACATCCTGAAAACTTTGCAAACCTGAACCAGAGCATAAAAGTGAAAGCACTTTGTCTTATGAAGACTGCCCAAACTATGGTACTAGGTCAAACTAGAGGTCTAATAGCTCATCTCAGAAAAAGCTTAAGCTTCCCACCATTTATAAGAACTCATTCAGTTCCAAACTGCCACAGGCAGCAATTCTCAAGCAGCGCCACCCTAGGGTGCCATGAAATTGGCAGAAAATGCTTACAATTAAGACATAGTCAGCACAACAAATAGGAATAATGAAAATGTACCATCACTGGGAGAAGGGAAGAGAGACAGGAGACTTCACATTTACTATTTTAAAAGCCATCTGTGAGACTTTCCACTGCACTGCATAAGGACTAGTCCTGCTCTGCCTTTGCGATTCTAAATACAAACTGTCATCTACTGAACCAGATCTGAACTGAATTACCACTGAAGTGCCATGACAACTAAATTTCCCAAAACACAAGTTGTAGTGATTGCATTAAAATCCATTTAAGTAAGTTAAAGTGAACACAAGGACTGCACAAGAAACATGTTAACCAACTACTCCTCTCCAAACGGAGCAGCAATGCATTGGCAGTACCCTCATCTCCCCCTGCTTTTGCCTGAGGCATTTGGTATGTTTGAATGTTTCTGGTTTGCACCTTGTAGTTATACTGAGAGGGTTTTAAGTAGGCAATTTTTAGGACTCTTTGGGTAAACGGCTGCTTGCAAACGCAGGACACGGCACAATGACATAGGGATAACGGAGGCCTGGTGGGACTCCACCCATGACTGGACCATGGGTATTGATGGCTATACCCTGTACAGGAGAGATCGTGTAGCTAAAAGGGGCAGGGGTATAGCTCTCTGCATTAAAGAAAGCTACACATCCCTGCAAGCTGATCTTGGCGACCAGGGTGGATGACTGGAGGCCCTCTGGGTTAAAATCCGTGGGGGACACAGCACAGGGGACAACGGTGGGAGTCTACTACAGACCTCCCACCCGAAGTCCTGAGCTTGACCAGGATTTCGCCTGGGAACTGGCTGAAGCTGCATGCTCCAGGACCATGGTTGTCATGGGTGACTTCAATTACCCAGACATCTCCTGGGAGGATCAATCAGCAAAAACTGAGCGGTCGCAAAGCTTCTTCTCGTGCATGGATGACCTCTACCTGGCGCAGGAAGTCTACAGGCCAACGAGAGGTAAAGTGCTGCTCGACCTGGTACTGGCTACTGCGGATGACCTAAACCGGCGACCTAGTGATCGATGGGAAGCTGGGTGACAGTGACCACAAGCTGATCACCTTCACCATCCACCGTAAAGCTGGCAAGTCAGTCAGCAACACTGAAGTCTTTGACTTCAGGAAAGCCGACTTTAACAAGCTCAGGAGGCTTGTCAGTCAGGTCCTAAGGGACCATGACACCAGGGAGAGGGGAGTTCAAGAAGAGTGGTTGCTCCTCAAGGGAGCGATCCTCAATGCACAAGCTAATTCAATTCCATCTCGGAGGAAAGGCAGCAAGAGGACACAGCAACACCCCTGGCTCTCCAGGGACCTAGCAGACCTCCTGAGGCTAAAAAGAAAGGCCTACAAAGGGTGGAGGATGCGATTCACCTCCAAGGAGGATTATTCTGCACTGGTCCGGTCCTGCAGGGAGCAAACCAGGAAAGCCGAGGCTGCAGCTGAACTCCAACTAGCTTTGAGCATCAAGGACAATAAGAAGTCCTTTTTTCAGATATGTGGGGAGCCAGAGGAAAAGCAAGGGCAACATTGGACCCCTGCAGAATCAGATGGGGCAACTGACAACTGAGGCCCAGGAAAAAGCCAACCTATTAAATGGGTACTTAGCGTCCGTCTTTCATCAGTCCCATGGGGCGCCCATGCCCACTACGGGACAGGGATGATTGGGTGAGGGAGATCCCCTGCCCTCCATCAATGCTGACCTTGTGAAGGAACACCTTGAGAAGCTGGGCACCTTCAAGTCAGCCGGCCCTGACAATCTACACCCCAGGGTACTCAAGGAGCCAGCGAGCATCATAGCCCAGCCTCTGGCATGGATCTTTGAGAACTCCGGGCGCTCTGGTGTAGTGCCCGAAGACTGGAAGAAGGCCAATGTGGTGCCTATCTTCAAGAAAGGAAGGAAAGTGGATCCGGCTAACTATAGGCTCATCAGCCTGACTTCTATCCCGGGGAAGATCTTAGAAAAGTTTATTAAAGAGGCCATCCTTAATGGACTGGCCGATGCCAACACCCTAAGGGATAGCTAGCATGGGTTTGTTGCAGGTAGGTCTTGCTTGACCAATCTCAAATCCTTCTACAACCAGGTGACCAATCACCTGGACAAGGGAGAAGAGATTGATGTCATATCTTGACTACAAAAAAAGCCTTCGATCTGGTATCCCATGATCACCTCTTGGCAAAACTGGCCAATTGTGGCCTTGGGTCCACCACGATCCACTAGCTGGGAAGTTGGCTCCGTGGTCGGACCCAGAGGGTAGTAATAAATAGAAGTTACTCATCACAGTGTCCTGTGACTAGTGGAGTCCCCCAAGGCTCTGTCCTTAGACCCATATTGTTCAACATCTTCATTAATGATGTGGACATTGGAGTCAGAAGCAGACTGGCCAAGTTTGCTGATGACACCAAACTTTGGGGCAAAGCATCCACGCCAGAAGACAGGCGGGTGATCCAGGCTAACCTGGACAGGCTCAGCAAACGGCCGGACGAGAACCTGAAGGTGTTTAACACCAAAAAATGCAAGGTTCTCCACTTTGGGAAGAAAAACCTGCAGCATCCTTATAGGCTTGGCAGTGCTACGCTGGCTAGCACTATGGAAGAGACTTGGGGATCATCATTGACCACAAGATGAACATGAGCCTGCAATGCGATGCTGCGGTTAGTAAAGCGACCAAAACGCTGGCTTGCATCCATAGGTGCTTCTCAAGCAAATCCCGGGACGTCATTCTCCCCTTGTACTCGGCCTTGGTGAGGCCACAGCTGGAGTACTGCGTCCAGTTTTGGGCTCCACAATTCAAAAAGGATGTGGAGAAGCTTGAGAGAGTCCAGAGAAGAGCCACAAGCATGATCAGGTCAGGAAAACAGACCTTACCACAACAGGCTAAGAGCCATGGGACTCTTTAGGCTAAAAATGCACAGGCTCAGGGGTGACCTGATGGCCACCTATAAGTTTATCCAGGTGACCACCAGGATCTGGGGGAACGTTTGTTCACCAGAGCGCCCCAAGGGATGACAAGGTCGAACGGTCATAAACTACTACAAGATCGTTTCAGGCTGGATATAAGGAAGAATTTCTTTACTGTCTGAGCCCCCAAGGTCTGGAACAGCCTGCCATTAGAGGTGGTTCAAGCACCTACATTGAACACCTTCAAGAGCAAACTGGACGCTTATCTTGCTGGGATCCTATGACCGCAGCTGACTTCCTGCCCTTTGGGCAGGGGGCTGGACTCGATCGTCCAAGGTCCCTTCCAGCCCAAATGTCTATGAAATAGCCCAGGAGGCCTCTTCTCCTCCTATGTTCCTATTTTGGTTAACACCTACCCTATTGACTGGACTTAATTTGGCAATTAACTTTATGCATAGACTTCAAGGTACGATCAGGATTGTGTAGCTAACCTCCCAATGATCGCATAAAAATCACTTTAAATTTATAAGAATGAAGCTTTTAAGTAACAACTTGGAACTGCACTGAGTCCTGGAAACTCAAGCTGTGGTTCCTTCCAGCTTTACTGGACTCCAAGAGACTTAGCTGTGAAGGTTGGAAAAGACAGGAGAAGATCCACCTCATCTTCTCCTATGCTAAAGCAAACCCAGCACTACCACAAACAGCACAGTTTATGTTAGTAAAGTGTGCAGCAAGGACTGAAAATGCACAAAACCAGGAAGCTAAAAGTCCACACAGGCTAACTTTTCCCCTGGAAAATCTCGCTAACAAAAACGAAGTGGACCAGTAATGGCCTCACCCCACATATTACAGAACAAGTGTTTGGTAAAGGAGATGTATATTTATTCACTTTACAAAGAAGGCGGTATTTAGTTGCAACAGCTCCATTTATAGACAAATATACTGTACATTATACTGGTGAATGGCTCCAACCTGTATGATACCTTGCTCTTAAAAATGTTTATACCACTTCAGCTTCCAATAGCTGAGCAAATAGCAATCCTTGTTCTGCCACTGAGATTAAAAATCCTTAATAAATGTATACGCTTTGCGTTACATATTCACAAGCATTTGCCCCCCCTCTACCCCCCACCCCTTTTTTTTTTTTAATTTGTTTTCTCCTCCCCACCCTTTCAAGACAGAGTCCTTCCCTGGGGTCAGCATTAAACTTATATACAGGCTCAATTAAAACAAAATTAGGAACCAGTGATAGTTCTGATGTCCTTCCAAAGCACAAGAAAAGTCTTTGGATTTATACATATAAAAGTCTTGAGTCCAATTTTGTTTAAAAGAAAAGAAACAAAATAGCAGGTTAAACCAGGCTGGCCATTAGACATTGCCACAGCCACGGTGAACCTATGCAGGGGGGAAGAGGGGGAATGAATAAATTCAATTGTGAATTTAAATATTACAAAAATATTTTTTTCTTTTTTTGAAAAAAATGTAGCAGGATGCCCACTTGCTATTGCTAACTGAAGCAAGAAAAGAAGGTATAGATTGGTCTTTGATCCTTTAATATCTAAAACAAATTTAATGTAAACCGGAAACAAGTTTACCACACAAACGGCGGTGGCAGGTTTATTTCACTTGAGATACAAATGCATGTCCATGTGATGGGCTTAATCTGACCAGGAGGTGGAAGAAATGTTTCATATAAGCTCAGGGACACAGGGCGAGAGAAGGCTGGCGTGGTCAAACATTCTGGATTCAAAAGTGCACAGTACCCAGATGTGCCTCTGCACATAACAGAGTGCAGGCTCAGGCCTGGCCTGTGTAACTACGGCAACTTTCAGCAAAATGATCCAGAACTTAAGAGTTCGGGTGGCCCACTTGATTTACTAGGGATCTTTTCTTTTTTTCTTTAAAGATCTGTTATTCTTCTTCACTTTCATTTTCTGGGTCCAAATCAGAGTCACCATTAATTTCTTTATCAACAGCCATTTCTTGTTCTTCTGATTGTTCCTCTTTTTCTTCATCTTCTTCCCAGTTGTCCTGGCAGGGGAGAAAAGTGGGGCAGGGGGGAGACAAATAGGAATAGCTGAATCCTTGATACAAGCACATGTGCCAATCTGCATTTTTGTTACAGGAAACAGAAAGAATCCAGACACAAAGTTTTACTTACATCTGAATCTTTATCAGCAATCATCTCATCTTCCGAGCCTTCCTCTGAAGATTCTGGAAATGGAAGAACAAACAATTTTATGCAGAGCCTTTTTCCTGATGAATGCCAGTACCATGTGCCACTACACAGCAAAGATCTGGCTGCCACTTGAACCATTACTTAAAATGGCTTTCTGCCTGAAAATATTTTGATCAGCATGTGTCAGGATTTGCACACAAAGGGCATGTCTGGACAAGCATAGTTGTGCAGGTATGTGGCGCCACAATCATGTTTGCAGTGCCACATACACAGTCTGGTGTTCTCCATGCTACAAGGGCGTGTTGGCCAAGCGTGCACTGCACCGGGATCTTTTCTGCGGGTTTTTTACTCCTGGATATCCACAGAAAAAAACGGAGCAATGCATGCTTGGCCAGCACGTGCTGCTGAAAAGTGGGGCTGGGCAGAGCTGCACTCCGCTGCCAGCCAGGCTCCACTCCGCAGAATTACTGTGGCTGCAGCCCTGGGAGGCCCCCAGGTAAGGCTGCACAGCGCTGGCCCCAGCCCCCCTACCCCACCCGGGGGAGCTTGCCACATGCCAAAGCATGCATGGCATGGGCATTCCCTGGGGACAAGTAACAGCAGCACAAGGTGCACCACTGCTACTTGTCCTTGGGGAACCCAACATCCACACATGTCTGGACATGTCCAAAGTGTTCACACAAGGACACAGATGTCTTAAATCCTAGAGGCAAACAAACCACCTTTTCCATTTCTTTTCATAAGAGCATATTTAGAAGTTCCTTTATTAAAACCACCTTCAGTAAAGATGTACTTCACGCTACGGACAAGACCCATTAAGTGAGAATTCTGGACACAGAAGTTAAGCAGGACACTGGAATCAAATAACCATGGCTTAAAGGAAAAAAGAAAGAAAAACGTCTACCAATGAACAGCTGTCTCATAATTGTGTACCACCTTCTCCCTTCCATCAATTTCACCTCCCATAGAGCAACAAGTATAGAACTGGGATGTACATGGCTCGCAAATGTATGCAACAACTGGAACTCGTGTTCAGCAGTCTGGGAGCACTCTCAAGATAGTCCCATAGAAAGCTTCTAAGCTTACCTTCCTCATACACAAGCTTTGCAGTCTGATTAACATCACTTACATCCTGAATTTTTTCTAGTGCTGCAATCTGAAAGGCATTTGGAGACAAACATAGTCATGAGTACCAAACTTAGAAATTATTCTCTCTTCCATTCCTCTTCCTTAAATTGTAGCTTAAGGACAACTAAAGATCTTGGGGAGGGGAGGGAAGGAGGGAAAAGGAAAGGGAGAAACCATAAAAGCTAAAATATGAATGAGGAAAAAAAAATACACCTTAACTGCTTAAAATTCTTCTGATTATTTTTATATTACAAAGATTGGATCAGCATGCAGAAGAAAAACATTTAATCATACTGTCCAATAAGCAAAACAGCATCCCAAACATACTGTAACATGAAAAATATGGTCAACAGCAATCTGCTGATTATCATAAAAAGTCATAGAGAAGCAGGGCTAGAAAGGACCTCCAGATGTCTAGTCCAAAAATCTGTCTAAGGCAGGAACATCCCCATCTAACGGATCCCATATTAAACATAATTTAAAAACTCTACATAACACTACCCTCAACCCTAACAACAATGACCTAACACCCTAACCTACCACAGGGGAACCATGGGAGCTAATGTCCTGCTTCTATGAAATGTTGTCAATAGATGCTTAAGAAATCCCAGGATAGAGGGCCATACCCCCCACTACAGAGGAAAGCAACCCCCCCTCCCCCCAGTGTGCTCATCTACCTGTTCACCAAGTTTAGTAACTGTAATTACAGGTACAACCTTAATGCACCATAAATCGGCACTACCGATAATTTGCACAGGCACATGCTTTTTTGGTGACACTAACGTGTAGTAAACTCATTCTACTGCACATTAACATGGGTTTTGCCTGCTGTGCTAATATGCAGTAGAATGAGACTACTGAGCTCAAAGTGCTGTGTGTAGATGTGCCCAGTTGGTGTCAATTTGACCATGGGGTAAAATTCCTCCCTGACCTTAAATATGGCAAACAGTTTGACCCTGATTAAATCAACTGGGAAGCATACTATGGACTGATGTGACCATCCAGTATCTGCCCTAAGTTGTGTATGACAGGTTTGGTTAGACCAAACTGAAGTGGAAGTTAAATCTCTGAACATTTTCACCCAACACTGTAGAGTTTATAACTTATATTCACCTGGGTGATAAGAAGATAGAGTTTCCCATGGAGACGAGAGAGCTTCTGCAAGGTTTTTACTCTGCTCTCCATTAACTGGTACAGCATCCCCAGCTGAGGAACCAAGTCTGGCAACTTTAGAGAGAAAGAGAAATTTTATTAATAGGGCTGCCGTGTCCCCTTATCTAACTTTTCACATAACAGAATTAACTGCACTTTAGGGGCTGTCTTAAGAGTCCTTTCTTCATATTGACACTGACAAAACACAGAACTGATATTTCATTGTGTTTAAATGAATCTCTCAAGCAGTCTGCTAAACAAGTACTTATGTCAGCTAAAAGCATAAGTCCACAAGCCACATTTAGACCATGGTGGAACTCACTTTCCTTTTTTCCCTTCTTCACTCCATTCTTGTGAGCAGTTGTAAGAGTACTGATAGGCATGGTAGCATGAATGGAAGTCACACAGTTACAGCCGCAAGCCTAGGAATAATCGACACACCACAGTCCTGACCCATGAAATTCTCAATATAGTTTCATAGTTTCTAGGGTCGGAAGGGACCTGAGAAGATCATCTAGTCCGACCCCCTACCATGGCAGGAAAGAGTACTGGGGTCAAACGACCCCAGCAAGGTGTTCATCTAACCT